AAAAAGATAATAGTCATGGATTTCTTTGGCTCTTTTCTTGCGACTAACTCGCGGCAACATAAAATACTAAAACTATGGGGTTTTGGTACGTGAAGTTGATTTCGGGCCCGACTAAATATGTTGTCATCTATTTACGTGTGCTTCATGATAACCATAAAAATAGAAGCGCACGGAAAATACGCGCATTGCGAAACGGCGAACAGAACAGGTGCATTACCCTTAAAATAAGAAGAGAGCGAGTGAACAAAAAAAAATTCAAAAGTCAAAATCGTCGCTGAAAATGACTCAACGAGATACATGCTTTGGTCGTGACACTGCACATCAAGCATGCCGAAGCCAAATACCAAACTCGAATTCGTCTATTTGCGATCTTGTGACAAAAAGCATTCGACGTGCAAATCGACAGACCGAATCTGTGTAAAGGTGTCTTGGCACATATCATTTCCGTGAATCAAATTTCCTTTTAGTGGCTTCTTCGAATCAGATATGTGTGTGTGTGTGTGTATGCATGCCCGCTCTGTTCCTCGCCGGAATTTTAAACTTTCGAGATTTGACTGTTTGTTTTAAGCGCAAATCAAGCAACAAAGCAAGTAAAAGCCATTTGGATGTGACTGGCATCGAATAGATTCCTACCAATGTCACACCACATCGTGCGGCTGAAAAATGATGCAGAAAAACTAGTGTCGAACAGATAAATGACAAACAGAAAAACATCCAAACATTGGAGCAAACACATAAATATTCGCAACCGATCTACCGTTGATGGAGAGGGAGAGGGTGAAAAAAAAATAACAACACCAAACAAAACTTCGTCGAAAACGCGCAACTATAACGCTAGTAAATATTAGCGAAAGCAATGTAAAAAGCAACACGGTGCGACACGGTAAAAGCGCAACTCGAGTGATTGTACTTTTGTTTCCACCATTATAGACATATCGACATCGCATGGCATTACATTCAATTTAGCAACGAAATCGAATTTTGAAACGTTCGATTTTTATTCAATCTTTCTTTTCCGATATGCCATGCCATACCCATAGCCCAGCCATTTGGTAAATAGCACGACCGAAGGAAACATTTGTCGATATCTGATAAGAGTAAAAGGTCGTACTAAGTATACACGCCTGAAATGGGATTCGGGGCTCGTTAGCGAAAATCCAATGTTTTTGTCGTCGTCGTCGTCGTCGTCGTTGTCGTCGTCCTCGTTGTCGTGTGGTGCTGAAGAAATTGAACATCGGAGACAACAAAAGTGTTTCTCTCTCCAATTCGATGTAAATTCAAAGGTCGCCGTATCCGTTCGGTGCCATCTTCAGTTTTTGTTCTGTGTTGAGCTATGCACACTCCATCATTACTGCAGACATCATTTTGACGTCCCACGTTGGGTCATCACGGATAGCAAAAAAAAAAACAAATTTTCAAACACTTTTTTCAATCAAAATGTGATACCGTGATTTTTAGGCGGAATGTTGCTGTTGTTGTTGCTAGAAATTGAAACTAGCAAAAATGCATAGTTTAAGCATGCAAATGAATGAAGATACATGAAAATTGTGTCACAATTTGAATTTAACCTAATTGGAACGATCAAAAATAAAGTGCTTGAGCTTGCTTTTTCCCCTTGTAATGCAAAATAAGCCAGAAGAGTTCAAAGAATTGTGCTTTTGAAAAAGAGTAATCGCTCAGCTTAAAGAAAATAGTTAAATAAACCGCAAAAAAAGTAAACTTTTTCACTTTTTCATCTTCATGATGTCAGTGCCTGGTCAACAACTTGGATACACTTCTCGTTTAATGCGATTTCTTTTATTATCATTCAAATAAGTTTGCGAGGTCAATAGTGTTCAGCGTTTTTTTCTGTTGCCATTAAAAACAAGATGGACGGTGTTTTTTTGTGTTGCTGTTAATCTCGTTGTTTAATGACAAAAAGATTCTGAATGATGATGAAATGATAAATGCAAGCGAAAAAAGAACTACAGTACTTAATCAAATGCATGTCGTTACGGGTACTAAAGGATGACTCTGTTTTTGAGCCTCCAATACAATGAAGCGTTCGGCGCAAAGGAGTCACAGTGCGACTGTCCATCATCCAAATTAATGTGCACAGGCCATACCGTTATTATAATTGTTTAACGAAGTATTAAAAGTCCTTTAATAAGTACGAATAGAATGTGTATCTACAGTGGGAATCCCACTTGTTATCTGGTGTACAGTGACAGCAATGGTGCGTGTATTTCGTTTTGAATCTGAAAAGGTTGTCGTGGATTTACTGCGGCAAAAAGACACGAAAAGACGACAGAACGGAGAAGAAGAAATAATAAATGCCATGGTAAAAAAAAGAAGAAGCGAAGCAAAAAGTGAACAAAAGAACACGAAAATTGACATAGAACATACACAGATATACGTACATCATACATACACCATGCTTGTTCACTAATTTTACGCTGAACAGCTCAAATTTAGTAACCGTAAAAAAGCTGAACGACCTCCACTTCTTACGATTGCATCATCTTCGCTGAAGATGTCGAACAAGTTTATGTCATTTTTATCCCCACTTCTGCTTCGGCTCTCATCGCTTGTATGTATGTTATGTTCGATGTTGTTCCTTTTGTTTTGTAACCTCGTCTCCCGTTTTCAGTTGTTTCGTTGTCGTCGTTTTTCTATCTCTAAAATTCACTTGTGAAAAATAATCTTCAGTGTCAGCTCTCTTCGGCGAACATCAACCGGATTTGCATTCAACGATGTATCTCTTCGGCTCGTTCATTGTCGGAAAACAGGTTGAATTAAAAATGGCGAGAGGAAAAAAAAAGAATGAACGAAAGAACGAAAGCGCCAGTGAAAGTACATCGTAAAACGAAACAATGAGTATTGAATGATTAAACATGCAACAAAGCAGGAAAAAAATGCAGACCGTTTTTATTTAGTATGAATCGAAAGTGAGCACTTTAACTTCTTTTTCCTTTCCATCTATTGCTACAACTCCCTCTTTTCAGCTTTAAATCAGCTTTAATTTTATGAACAGAACCTGATCTGATTAGTCAATGAGATGTTTGGAGTTTTGTGTGTGTTTTTCCGCTTCTGTGTCTTGGCCAAAATCGAATCAACTCAATGAAATCGAGTGTCATGTAAATACGTGATCGTAAAAAAAAGTTTCTAATTTTCCTCGCTCTCTTCTGGAATCGCTTTTTAAGTAGCTAACCGTGCTGACAATAGATTAGTTGATTCGATATCTAATCCATAGTCAAATCAATATTGAAATGAAAGCTTTGCATCTCCATCATCATCATCAGCATCATCAACAACGAATCAGAAGTAAACGATGGCGTCAGTATCTCACAAAAAAAGAAGAAAAATAGCAACAAACAGAGACATCATGTACCGATCATGATGATTCACTGACGAAACGGTTTACGGGAATACTTTCAGCGACAAAAGTTTGTGCTATAAATCGTATTAAAAATGACACAAAAACGAGCTCGTGTAAATTGAAAAGAAGGAAAGCATATTATAGTTCAAAGTTCAATTTCCGCGATGAAATTTAATTCCTCTACTGCATTTACAAGGTACACGTGATTTTCCATCGTTCCATATTTATATCATCAAACATATAGACGGTACATCCACTCGCTATTCGATACACTCTACATGTGGCTGAAATAAATGCACAGAGAGAGAGAGAGAGAGAAAAAACTTAAAACAAATTGCACACAAGCTCACTGGCGCCAGGTATTTTTTACGGGTAGGTGTATATTCGTTTTTCGTGCACTTTGGATGGCGAAAGGTGCAAACATGCATCAAGATCGCACATGCAGCGGAATTGTATAAAAGTATTTGTTTTATTCGAACCTTTTCAATATTCATTATTTTCAGAAGCGGAAAAAGGGAATCGCATACATAGTGAATGCATGTAAAATTGCGCACGATGCACGAGAAATGCGTGCATCTGTGCAAGAGCATACATATGTCAATATTTCACACGATGCCATCGTACATTCCGTGCCAGTATTTTGAATGCGTTTTAATTTTGTTATTATCACATCTCGATCCCCTTTCGCCAATTCGAGCGGAATGTTGTTCGCACTTGCTCGCGTCTCATGCATGCTCATCGTACCAGTGCCAGTGCATATGCTTTATTTTTAAACGTGGACCCAATTTTTCGTGGGACTCCATATTTAAATGTAGCACAGAGTGCGGCGCGATGAGACCATGGCACGTGTGCAAGAGTGTGAGAGAGAAAATTAAAATAAAAAATAATAACGAGCGAGCGAGCGAGCGAGCGAGAGTTGATGGCATTTTTGGTTATGAAGGAAATTAGTTTGATTATAAATGCCATTAGATACGGTGCAATGCACTATGAGATGGTGCACGCTATTGCTTAATGAAAATCACATAAATTATTCCCCATTTTGTACACACATTATACATACAATACATTCTATACGTACACAATATTCATGCCGAAAATTTGATAGTCATAATAAGTACTAGTTGTACTCGCATCGATTTTTAATTCAAAACTTTAGACTATGTTTAAGTTGGGCGTTAAATCGATTTTGGTGCAGTGAAATGTTGTCGCATCCGTAACGCATTTTTATTTAACAATTCATTAGCATAATTCTAATGAATTTTTATCACCCTCCAGCCATAGGTATTCACAATTCATTAGGCATTAAATTGTGTTTAACATAGAGGAAAATCGAAATTTTTCTATATTAATAACAAAAATAATCGTTGACCTCATTTTTGCACCATTTTTGATCATTGAAATTTGTCAGTATACAATTATACATCGATTGTGCTTTCGTTGCTCATTATCTCATCATTTGCATCGGAAACAATAATGGATATTTGGTTACATGAGATCCCACTTACCGCGCGCCGATCATGTATTTATCGTGCATACGTAGTACATATATAAAAACCAGTTTATTCAATTGCTGATAACTAATTGTGTTTATTCTCTGCTTTTCTCTCTCTTTCCCCTACCCATATATTCAACCAATTTCTAGGTCTAGCCGCAACGCAGAATATGGCAAAGCATGCCGAACCGATGTTTGTCACCAGATCGGAAACGTTTAAATTTGTGGCGGGCGAAACAATTCATCTGCCATGTGAAGTCTCGAACGCAGGTAATTTCAACTTATACCTCATTCATTTCATACATCCGACCATTTGGTCGTATGTCGGATAACCGAAATATATTTATTGTTTAAGTGCCATTAATGTGTTTAGGTGGTTTTCGTTCGATGCGATTAGAAACCATACCATATACATACATATATAAAAGTATACACTATGCGAGACATCAACTTCGAATACAGAAAACCAATTCATTTGACATCCGATTTTCAATTGGTTCCAAACATATCCTGTGGCATTTGATCGTAATCGGTATTTTCAATCCGTTCAAATCGTTCAAATGTTCATGGCATTATTTAATTAACATGAAGTTCAAGTTACGAATCAAGTATTCCACACTCAGAAACATGTAATTCGGTTTTGAATTCTCGGTGAACGGTGCCGAGTGCAACCGTAAGTTCAAACGTACATTTGATTTAAACTCGAGTCATTCATTCAATGGAAATAAAGAAAAAAATATGCACACAACATTTTTAAGAAAGGAGAAAGAAGAGCTCGAGGCGAACAACATTTGCCTTTTCACGACGAATCGTTTCATCGTCGTCGTCATTCGTGACGTCATTGTTCCGTTCTCCGCTTTACTTCAGCAATAGACATTTTTCCACCTATTTCACAAATAGCCAAATAATTTGTGCATTGAATATTGAACATGATTGGTGCAAATAAAATTAGAAATGATTCAATTCCCTTTCGACATTCCACGATAAAATCGTCTTGTACATGAATAATTATGAAATTAACGTGTCATTTTTGTTTATTGCCATCGGCTGAAATTCACCTTTGTGCAAAATTGCGCAATCATTTCGATTTCCAACATTCAACCCATTGTTTGTAAACTTTTTGTTCGGTTGCCAATAGTGAAATGTTATACCTTCATCTCAACCACAATCCATTGCGGATCCTGGCGCATTTCTCTCGTTACTGCTTGATTTAGTGTGTTCTTTTTTTCCTCTGTTTCTTCTCCTTTTCGTGGCCTTTTATTATGTTGGAAATCTAAATATCGTAGTTATTTGTAATTTGATTTGAGTTTCGCTATTATATGTACAAAAGTTTTCCTTTAAATCAATTACACCAAGAAAATTCACTCAATTCCCAGATCAATTGATAAAGTTGAAATACTCAAGCATTGGCACAAGATGCCAAAATGTAAAATGAAAAGGACTTTGTGTGCAACGCTTTTTGGTTTGTCGCAATTCAACTCTTGAAGTTTGCTTATGCTTCAATTTACGTGTTTAATTTTCGGCATGCGTAAGTGCAGCTGCTGCTACTGCTGTAGCCCCACAACCATAATAATATCATTGTCATAATAAATCAACTTTTAGGTCGTCCCAACGACTGATTACAAAGTGTAATGAAATGTTGGTGTTTCTGAATTCAAAGTGCTATGCCTAATAGAAGCATTCAGTGAAATTCCTCTTTGCGCGGAGAAAAAACAATCAAAAAAAATTTCTTCTTCTATTCTAATTTCATTCATTGAATCGGTCGGAAGAAGAAATCCGCATCGATTTGTATTCGCCGCTAATTTTGATCATTGGTTGCTAAAAAACAGAGAGAACATGTCAATTCTAATTCGCTCAAAAGTCATAATCATTTTCGTTTGTGTATTTGAACGAAAACTGTCAATCCATTCGCAACCGAGTCAATGCCACATTGTACTTAATATTCTCGTCCAGCTCACATATACAAAACGTGCAATTTTCAATATCCACCTGATTCCAATAAATAATGCCAAAAATAGCTCAAAGTTCTTTGGCTGATGATCTGAATAACGAGATATAAAATGAATTGAATGGAACAAATCGAACGCCGGGCAAATGAGATTCGATCGCTTATTGTGCGACGTAGGTGGCGATGAGATGGCAGCAACAATAAACAAAAGCGATGAAAAGCTGTAGGGTGGAGGAAATCTTGAATGACAAGTGAACCCACTTGTTCCACAAAAAAAGGAACAAAATTCAAACAATCATTCGAAAAGCAAACGAACACTGAATCAACGATGACGATGATGATGATGTGGATGTGGATGATGATAAGTGAAAAAAGGTAGCTCTTGTGTGCGTGTGTGTGTGTGTGTGTGTGTGTGTATGGCATATGTGCAACTTTGGAACGAACCAACATGAATTATTTATGAAATAAAAGAATAAGCTTTTTATATTCACCGCCAGCGATTTTTCAGTCAATAAACTAGAACAATGCAGGAAATGCAGAATCGATAGGTTGTTTGGTTTTTCTGTGGCTGGCTTGGTTTCGAATGCTTTTGTTGTTGCTGTGAAAATCAAACAATTCTATGATTCGACGAAGGTGAAGCACGTGCGAAACGGAGCGGATGCCGAATGCGATATTGATATGCGAATGTTGGCTCTCGCTGCGAAATTTCTATTGTGTATGCGTGTGTGTGTGTGTGTGTGTGTGTCCGTAAAGGTGAACCCATTAAAATGCGATGTTTTTTGAATTGTCTACGAGTTGAGAAAGCAAAGGGATTTGCTTTCATTTTCATGCCCGCATCATTTATGCAATCAATTCACTGAACACTGACGGTATACACGAATCACAACAGGTTTGATAGCAAGTTAATCGCATTGGCTGTCGTTTGTTCCGACCAGCGACGAAATCGATTGTCTTGTCAGATTCCCAACGCATTTATGACGATTTAACATATGTATACATCATTTTTATGGAATCTTATAGACATAAATACATTTCATGTCGTACACAAATGACAATTGAAACGAGAACAACGGGAATAAGCCAAAGATAATGCAAACATTCAGCATTTGTCAAGTGTACAATGGGAAATCAAATGCATCCAAAAAGGAGAACGAGCGTCAAGATCCTTGTAATATCCGTACACAGTAGACTCACACCCATACACCCATCGAGCAGTCGACTAGCTTTCCATCACGAGTCTAATGCATTAGCATAATCCATAGTTGGAATTTCTTGTTTTCGTTTTCATTTTATTGAGCATTTTCACATCGAGAACGTGACATCTTATTTATACAGTTCGCGATGCACTTGAGCTCTCTTTTTATTTATACGTTCATTTCGGTGGTAGAACAAGAAGCCCTTAGTCTTGCCAATTGCGACGAATGCACCATCAGAAACATGGCAAATGTTGGAAATTGGCTTTGATCACGAGTGTTTGCATTTTGGCGACACTGAAAATGTCAAAATCAAATCTGCTTCGTCTTATTATGTACATTTATATGTAGTTGTTGAAAATCGCTCGCTCATCAGTTACATCAACATTTTTAAGCGCATCACTGACTATCGCCGCCAATGCCATTGCTGTTCAACAAACATGCCGCCGAAATATGAGAAGCAATGAGCGGCAGAGAAATGGAGAACGAAAGAAACCAAAGCTTATTTAGTTTGTCGATTCAATTTTTTTCTCTCTCTCTCTCAAGTACTTTGCAGAGAGCATTCCTTTTAAAAGGGATTTATTCGTTGAAGTATGTGATTTCGTGTGTTCGTTTGCTTTTGCCTAGTTTCTTCTGGCGGCGAGTAACGTAAAACCGGCGAATACACAGAGAGAAAAGGGAACGAGAGAAAGAGAGAGAGTGATAGCGAGTGAGGAAAAAGCAAAAAATATATTTTCCGCGAGAGTTTGTCACACAAATAGAATCAAGAAAAAGAGAATAAATTTTGAATGTATTCATGTCAAAACGATTGCAATGAAAAGCGCACGCTAAAAACAAAACAGCGAAAAAGTGTGGCATAGAGAGAGAGAGAGAGAGAGAGAGAGAGAGAGAGAGCATAAGGCATATGAAATTCGTGTGACTTGCTCATGAAATATAGCAACGCACACAGAGAGAGATAGAGAGCGAATATTCTCACTCCGTTTGCTTCAGCAAACATATGCTCGATGGCTTATGAGGATGGAAGGAATCACTTCACCCCGTCAGACACTGTTTGCTCATAGTTTGTATGCACATTCAAAAATTCAAATTTTCATATCTTGATATTTAAATTATTTTCGTTGTCAGCAAACACAATGGTTTAAAATAGGTAACCATTAAATTGTCTCGACTTGTCTCCAGTTTCATGCAATATATGCGCATGTCGCGCAATGCATGTACATCGTAATGAATCGCATTCTATTTGTTAAATTGCACAAAATTCATAACATTCAACGAGAAAGTTTCGGGGGGTAATTCTTTAAGCAACAAGAGATGCAAATCGTTTCTCTTGTAGGTGCATTTTATCATTTTCAGTTCATGCGACTATGTCTCTTCTCCTCCTGCTGAATATGTTGTGTGTGTGTGTGTTTTTTTTTCTCTCTGTAGCTTCTTCGTTTGCGTTTTGTCTTTATTTCTCATTGGCACAAAATGTTTGCAGCGTGTTTAAATAGCGAGAATTCCATTGAAATTTGAATAAATATCAGACAGCTTTTAATTTGAGTTCATGAATGCATCGCATATATGCGGCGGGGAGGCAAAGTGACGAATGATGCGACAATGGCAATAAAAATGACGGAAGTCGCGAATGAATGGCATTTACTCTTTTCACTTCAGTTTTAATAAAATTATCATTGCCATTGAGCGGATTTTCCTCAAAACATTTTGATCACACATCCATACAAAACACTTCACTAATTCACTTTGCATTCTTCTCTTTCTTTTCTTCTTTTTGACTATTTAACAGAAAACTATGTTGTGGCTTGGAAACGTGGCATCGCCATTCTGTCGGCCGGAAGTGTGAAAGTTACACCAGATCCACGTGTGCATCTTGTTAATGGATATTCACTTCAAATTAAAAACGCTGTACCACAGGATGCCGGCGACTATGTTTGCCAAATTGCAACGCTTGAACCACGTGAAATCACTCATACGGTAGAAATTTTGGGTAAGTACAGTTTACAGTTTAGTAAAAGCAAAATATATTTTGGGTAAATAAAACGGTGTTGCATGCATTTTGTTGGGATCATACATGATTACGAGCATATCCATGGAAGCCCTTCGGAATATCATAGTGAACTTAAGACGAGTTATATTCGCATCAATGCCAACGCAATATATACGCATACATGGTCGAATTATCTAAATCATGAGGCGGAATTAATTTCGGTATTCCGTTCGATGAAAGAGAGACAGGAAGAGCAGGAGAGTGAGCGAGTGAGCGAGAGAGAGAGAGAGAGAGAGAGAGAGAATGAAATGACACGAACTAGAGAGTCTCTTGTTAAATTACAAAACATTCTGTGCGTCGTGCAAATATGAAAAATTCCCGTGCCGCTATTTAAGTTTTATGTAGATGCTCGGCTACTTTACATCATAATAAATTCCATTTGCCATCTCAGTATGCCGTGTTTGGGCTGACATGAGCGTTCATTGCGCTATATTTACATAAAACATACGACAAAAATGTTGGAACATGACAAAACTATACAAACGCATTGAATATATGGGCTACGAACAGTTCTTCATTGGGAGCGAAGTGTGTATTCGGGTACGCATATGTTTGTGTGTGTGTGTGTGTGCCGCCATTCGGGTGTTCCTGGCAAAGCAATTTAATATATTTGAAGCATCCAAATCGTACGAAACTCGCAGACAATCTGAGTTTGAGTGAAATTTAAATTCAGTGAACCAAATAAAGTTAGAGACATTTATTTGTCCTTTGCCCGAAGCAAGCCTCTTCTTCAACAGGATCTTTTCCGAAAGTTTTGCAGAAAATTCTTCGAGAATCTACACAGTACAAATTAAATTCGCTGTCGATTTATGCAGTTTATGTGATACGGGCCGAATGCATTTCGTCGGTGACATAGCGACTCTAAACGCGCTACGGATGAACCGGTTCACATTTCAAAACAAAAGAAGATAAAGAAGCGAACAACAAAAAAAAAAAATGAAAAAAAAAAATCCAAAATCCAATTGAATATCATGTAAATGGAAAAGGATGCTGTTAATGTCAATTTCTGCGTCTTTTTTTCAACTCCCGTTCGAATAGCGAGAGAGCATAACAGAAGCTTAGTAAAATGCTTGATCATAGCTTGATGTGGCAAAACAAAAAGCCAACTGAAAGACGAATTGCAATGCCGTCATAAAGCTGGCATGCGATTATTCCGTCGGTATGTACACTTGAAATACACGAAAAATGAATCATTTTTAAAGCGTAGACATGAAACGAACCATACGACAAGGTGAAATTTAGCGTGCCGTTAATTTGCCGTAGATTATGCAAATATGCTAAAATATGCTGAATCGCAAAACACAGTAGCGAAGCCACCACAACCCGATCGAAGCCGTATCTGCTCCGAAAATTATAATGCACGAACTGCTAGACACAAATTATATTCGCACATTTTGTGTGTGTGCGAGTGTGTGTGTGAAATATATTGAACCGAGTGCCCAGCATTCAAAGCGCAACGTATAAAGGTATACACACGTATGCATACACTCACCCATAGTTATATCTTTTAACCAATTCACGATGCGATGATTGAAATAAATCATTTTTCATTACCCGCACAAGCGCGCACCTCGAGTTGCATAGCAGCCATAATCGTACAGGACGATCGGATTCCGGCAAAATGAATTTGGAATTTCTCTCTCTCTCTCTCTCTCTCTCGTTTGCTTGCGCGCACGCTCAGCAGATTCTAAAATTCCTAACCGCTACACATGAGTCGGAAACAGCGCGACGCACATCTAAGTACCGTCGTGATCGCACAATCATTGCAAATTAATTGAAAATTCTGTTTCAAACTCACACCTGAATCATGTCGTGTGATTTCTTTTTTCTCTCTCACTCTGCTCTGCCTTTGTCAAAAAGTACAACGTACATACAATAATAAGAAAATTTTTGGCTAGAGCCAAAGTTGTAGCACCAGTGCGAACGTGCAACTGACAGTTTCAGGTGAAATGATTAAATCATTATAAAATGGAAATTGAATTGCTGTGATTCCATTTGATTTTGTTGTTGGCACTTTTGTTCGTTGTTTTCACATAACTTTTTGGTTGTTATCGGCATTGTAATCGTCCTCATCAGCATCCATCGTCACTCACACTTGGAACCAAGACGTCGCTTTTGCAATGGCAATGGCAATGACAATGGCAATGGTAATTTGAATAGGATTTTTGCTCGATTTGAATGGAGATAACTTTTTTTTCTACTTTCTTGACGTTGAAAACAATTTATTAAGTATAATCACCGTAAAATATCTTTAAGACGAGAGGGCAGGCGGCTACGAAAAATCGATGTCAAACCACAAAACAATTTGGTTAATCAACAAAGCAACATTTATGATCGAGGAGGAGTGAAAAAAAATGTTTCTCACATTGATTTTTATTTCGAAACTAGCCTAATTTAATCTCTGAAGAATTAGGAAACGAATATGATTTGTAAATGCACTTGAGAATTATCGTTCTTTGCATTCGCTGCGGCCACAATAGAAATGATGCCAATGAAGGAATTATACCAAGCACATGTAATGTGGAATTTTGTTTACTTGCTCTCTCTCTCTCTCTCTTTTGGTTCGTGCCTCACAAGAAAGTGAAAAAAAGAACAGCAGAAAAAAACAAGAAACCCATTCAAAAGATGCTCAATGCTGGAAATGCTTGATACATGGAATGTAGAACGCGTCCGTTGCTTTCAGAATGGAGAACAACACGGCTGTATTGTTATTTTGGGATTTGTTGTTTAACGTCTGCTGGGAAATGTTTATTTTATGTATGGACCGAAAATATAAATACAAAAGTGATTCTGCACGAGGAAAAAACAAGACCGCAGAGCTTCGCTTCGCTTCGCTCTGCGTTCTTAAGTTTTTAGTTACTTAATCTATTTTGTTGTTTCACAACAAACTATTTTTTGGCGCACTACATGAAATGTATTTCATCAAAGTAACTTTGAAGTAATATATTCATTTGCAAAATGAATTACAAGATCTTGGTTTAATTTCTTTTTTGAAATATACTGCTTTTGGTTTAAATTAAATAAATAATATGAGCATAAAATTCAAATTCACCATAATTCGTTTCATCACTCAAAAATTATTAAGAAAAAAAAGAAGCAGATTAGTAGCTCTACATTTCATGTAGTGCTAAAAAGAGAGGGAAAACGGGTCGAAAGAATGCCGAGCTTGTATGATTTCGTGCATGCCTCTTATCGTGTGCGGAAAAGTTGTAACTAACGGCGTTCCACTAACTGTTGGAATCAAAGCGAGCTTGTATATCCAGTGTTTCAATCGCAACGCACATTAATGTTCAATACTGAATAAACTGTGCATTTCACAATGTTCATTTTTTTCTTTACCTTTATCTCTCTCTTTCTCAACAACGATACTACATGCAAATGCAAAGCAAGACGATAAAACCAAGCACACAAGCCAAAATATTCGGTCACTACAGGGAAATACACATTGTTCGTTCTGCATATCATAAAAAAGGATGTTTGCAACTGTTATGTATGAACGAACAGCATATTATCTAGTACTGATTACTTATGTGACAGCTCTCTTCAACTAGAGATGTATGAATCAAATTTATTCGCAACTCTTTTTCTTCGTAACTTTTTACCTGATAACGCGCGGGCTTGCCGCCACCATCTTTGCACTTTATATATTTGTGACAAATTCCATATTCCACTTAACATTTCCTCTTCCGTTGTATTATTTTTTGGGGGTGAGGTAGAGTCTTAAAGCAAAATCCATGTTCTTACGCTGATAAGATAAACATTTTCCACATGCACTCGGTGGGTGTATGTTCGTACGATTGTTGCCAAGTGTTAAACAGACACTGTATGCAAAATAGAGTGTATCTTCATGCAATAAAGAAACGAACGATTTGGAAACGTTACGAATCATAACGTTCTCAACTCTTTTCCGTGATGTGTGGAGAATCGTCTTTTCCGGAGAAGGGAAAACAACGATGATAATTGCAATCAAAAGGAAGCATCCATCATTTTTATCATGTATTGATGTGAATTTATACGTTTCGCGTAGTTGAAGTCAATAATTGCCACTCGAAGTGCCATCGTGAATATATTTGCACCGAAAAATCCCCACTGTTAAAAGTTTCATTTTCTTCGCTATGGTCTTGAAATTTCTGTTTATTCCCAAGTAAAAAGGAGGCACATTTTTAAAAGGTTCACCGGATTATGATACGTATTCGGTGCCAATTAAGTAGCACAAAAAAAGCAGAACACGATAAGAGAAACCAAATGCAATGCAATAAATATTCTTTTTTCGCCATCCAATTTTTCTACTTTGTTAAAAGTTTGGCGAAAAATTTGCTGTTACCATTTTTATATTCAACAACGGATTATCCATATATGTGGAACGCGTGTGTGTATTCTATACATCAGCGAATGCCTCTGGTTCACGTTCAAAGATGCTACGCACACAATTCAGCTTACACACGTATTTCCCTTGGCGGTGAACAACAGCAGCAGTAGCAACAACAAGAAAAAAATAATACGTTGGCAAAGCCATTACGAGGCAACTATAAAAAAAGCGTAACCCTCAATAATTGTGTGTGCGATTTGGGTTGGGTTGCGTCGGTACACAAGAAGGTTTATAACGAGCAAAACTTTTGCAAGCTCCCATTTTTTTCCATCGGTCGTTTTCGTTCTCTTCAGATTTGTACAATAGTATTGGTGTGTGTGTATTTTTCTATTCCGTCTCCCGTTATTTGTTGTATCAATTTTCATTTAGCATGTGATATTACATTGAACATTAACAATTATTGTAGTATACGATTGTTTGATGAACAAAGGCCAGCTCCGAATGGAAGGGAAAAAAGTCGAAAACTTTGTTGCAAAGGTTATGAAAAGGTCATAATCGACAACGATATAAAAACAGCACACAAACAGAACGATGACGAAACCAACATTATTTTAGCGTGTGTGATTACATC